TCCCTTATTGGTTATATCAGGTGGAAATGTACCCTTATTTTTGATAATCTATTTCTTGTTGTCACTTGCCATATTTGACAATTGTCAAATAAAAACCACTGTTCTTATCCAAATGTGGCACTTTTGAGAATTAAATTAAAGTGTAGTTTACCATCCAATGTTTAAAAACTGTCCATTGACACAACATTTTCTTATATTGCCTGCAGGTTCCAGAGGAGAAGCTCACAGTGTTTGGTTGGCAGCAGGAAGTGGTCTCAGGTCAGATGTTTGGAAGGAGTTTGTCAAACGCTTTTGTGGGATCAAGATCAGAGAGGGTTACGGCTTGACTGAGGCCAGCATTGGCTTCCTCAACTACACAGATGAGGTTGGACCGATTGGGAGGGCAAGCTTTTTCAACAAGGTAAAAATAACTTTAGTATTTGTGTTTCCTCTGCATTTTATTATATATTTTGTTTTGGAGATACAATATATTCATTTAGATTACAGCTTTATCATTTTATCATATTTTCCCCATTTTAAAAATGTGCCCGAGAAGGTCTACTGTCTGTAAAATGATGACAAAGTCCAATTTCCTCCTTGGCAGAAACATTCTTCCAAGATACATGTTGATATGTTACAGGGGCACTGTACCAAATTTACACAGAAACGTTAGTTCACTAGTAAGGGCTATCTCAGTTTGAAAAGTTGCAATTTCCCAGAGTGGGTCTCGTGTCTTCCTGTTGAGTTTAGGGTATGAAACAAATTTGTATTTTATGGGTTTCGCACATGGGCGTGGCAAAATGACTCGCTAGCGCCACCTAGAAAATTGGAAAAGATTATCCCCTCGTTCACGTTCAACCTACATGTACGAAATTTTCTGGGGACTTGTATCAAGTATGTATGTCAAGACGCACAAAAAAGCCTCAAGAACCCATAGCCTAAAGTCAACAGGAAGTCGGCCATTTTGAATTTTACGGCCATTTTTGGATGATTTACACACTTCGTACTTTAACGAACTCCTCCTAGGGATTTAGTCGGATCGACGTCAAATTTCTGCTGTGCCTTCTAAAGGCATTGACGATGAAAAGTTGTGCTATTTGCGAGTTTTCGTCAATGGGCGTGTCTGTGGCGTCGATGATTCGCCATGAACAGGAAGTTGTTGTAACTTCAGTGTACATGCTCACATCTGGACCAAAGTGTACATGTAGGATGAGAGTCCCGCCCTGAACACATGTACATGCCGACATTCACCACAGTCATAGCGCCACCTGCTGGCAACAGGAAGTGACCTTTAACGAAGCAGCCCCCGCCGCACGTTTCACCTACATGCACGAATCTTCTGTGGTATGTGTATCTTGTCCAGTTACAACAACTTCCTGTGTCATGGCGACGAGTTGATCTTTGACGCCACGGACACGCCCATTGACAAAAATTTGCAAATAGAATGAATATTATTGAATATAATATTATGAATATACTTATGAATATTATCTTGAGGTCTACTCCATTTATCATTAACTTGTCTTGAAAAAACAACTCAGAATGTAAAGGGTATATTAGCTCCACTACGCGGCCGCCTTGTGTGTACTCCACTCTTTTAACTAATACCTCATTGCGTCCTCCAGCCGTTGCGTTGTCCATATGACCTGCTGTATCCATGCAAAATAGTCTGGATCCAAACTGTGTCTGCAGAGCGTCCTTAGTTCAAAAGGCACTCTATTATACCCCTGTAAGGATATGTGTTTGATGATTGCGTTATGAGTCGGTCCCCCAACGATATGTCGACCTGTGAAAATATTGTACATCCAGGGTAGTTGATAAAGCCCACTTTGTCTGCCTGATCCAGGTTTCCGCCGTTAGCTTTGGTGATTTTTACGCGCGTGTACAGAAACGTATTTTTAGATCCAGGTAGTCCTCTGTACTAGCTGGAATGAAAAATTCAAGGGTGAAGGGGGTCTGATTTCGCTGCTACAGGAGGGAATTCAATGTAGATGCATTTCTCAATACTTGTTTGTGTTAACAGTACCATAAACAGGTCTAGCTCCGACTTAACGCACTCTTGTGACAGGCTACGTACCAACGACATTCTCGTTAGAAAATGTCTCTCGTCTTCTGATGTTTTGTCGACTTGCTTCTCTTTGCTTGTTTATTTTTTCTTGTCTTAGTATGGGTCTTCTTATTTGTGGTTCCGCTACGCCTCTTTGGTAGGGAACTCCCTCTTTTCCCAGGAAGTTGTTTTATTGGACGGGGAGCCACGGCCACTAGACCCGACCCCTCTTGACGTCTGTTCATGACGTTAGTAATAACATGTTTAGCTATGTTTTTAGGGGCAACAAATGCAAATCCTTTCTTGAGTAAGGGGAATGCTAGTCTAAACAGACCCCTAAAGATACCCCCTAACCATGCACCATACTGAGCACCGAGCCCGCTGTATCCTGGTAAATCACCACCCGCTTGAGCTTTATAATATGCAACGTATTTGTCCGCATTGTGAGCATATGGATGGTACATGTTTGCTCCTTGTCTAATACTGATATTTTACGGGTCGAAAGTGTAGCTTTATTATTACTTTGCCTTACATAAAAGGGATATGTTGATTCTGATCTGTCTTGAGAGAAATCTCGATACTATCAATGTGTATTTTGCAGAACCTCCGGTAGTGTGGTCTGTCATAAGTATTTGTGATCATATGGTTGTTTTGCCCCGATATATGTACTATTCTTAAAAGAGGGACGTAACTATCCCCTACTGTTTGATGATCAACAATATCGTTATAAACAAATATATTATACATCCCCACATTAACATCGACAGGATGTGGCACCAAATATGGCATCTGTGTCAACACTGTTAGTTCGTGGCTAAGATCTAAATCCCATAAATCCCAACATTTGTGCAAGTCTTCCTTGAAACGTTAGTTCTACGTCTCTCGTTGGTAAAATGTTTCTCTGTTGGTAATATTGTTGTAATCAAGCTCAATGACCCATGTCGTTTTCAACAACTGTTTAGTTCAGCTATTATTTGTAACATTGTTGTATAGAACCCCTGTGTCGCTGATAGAACTACCCTCTTGTTGGATTTTTTTATCAAACACAACAAATTCTGAGTCTTGTGATGAAAAGATTTCCATGTTTTTGGATATTGTATTTCTATCAAACCCACCTCATATGCTAATTTAAAGTGTAAAGGCTTGAGTAGTTTTGTTCTAAAGTTTGCTATTGTGTTGTTTGGGTAAAATAATGCAGACGAGTTGCTGGGCAGGGTGACAAAAAAATCCTCCGTATCCATTTATACGAGTGTTTGTAATCTGCTAAGGTAGCTGAATGACCTGTTTTTCCAAAATCCACGAGTTAAATTTATCTGGCCATCCGACCCATTTGACACCATGTCCCAGCCTTATCTTTTCTTTCTAGATAAAATCTTTTCTATTTTAAATGTTTTGTTTTTATCGATAATAACTTTTTGCATCTCTTGCTTATAAAATGCTCCCTGTAATATTTCGCCATCATAGTCTTTTAACCTGTAAACAGGAGGGGCCCTTGACACGCATTCCTTTACAGTGGAATATTCATCAGTATAATTTTGCTCATAACCTTTTTTAAAAGGGCCACGTAATTTTGAAATTCTTACAGTATCGCCAACTTTATATTTAAAACGAATTACTCTTTTATCTTTTGTTTTATACAAGTTGCTAAATACGATATCTTCATTGTCTTTTGTTACATCAATCGGTTTCATTTTAATACTACAATAACTGATTGTATGAGGTGACTAAATCCTGCAATATATCTATGTATCGTTTAGAATTATTGGCTGTTAAATAACGCCACATTTTAGATTTCAGAGTCCTATTAAAACACTCTACTACAGATGCCTCAGTCTCATTTGATGTGGTAAAGTGTACGGATACTATTAATTTTCGTTAATGCATCGAAATCTTTGTACTCTTTTCCCTCGTCTGTTTGAATTTTATGCGGTATTCTACCTTAGCTAAGATATCTTTAAAGGATGCTGTGACGCATTTACCACTCTTTTTTTTTTTTAAACAACGCACCCATGCGTGTTTTTTAAACAAATCTATACATGTTAATAATAGCGTACACCATTTTCAGCAAAATAAGCGGACATATCAACTAAATCTAGCTGGAATTGCCAATCTATTGAATTCACTAAAACCTTGTTTCTCTTAAAATGCACTGGAGCCGTCTTGTGTAGAGTATAGGCCTCTTGCTTCATGAGCCAGTTTTCTACGTCTGAATCTGCGCACCGAACTCCAGTAGTGTCAAATATGACATTATAGTGACAAATATTTTAAGTTTTTGCTTGCCTCCGTAACCCCCTGCGTTTTTGTCGCTTAGTATATATTTCTCATCACCTCCTCCACGATCTTTGTGACAAAGACTGACACTTCAACATCTGTGTTCAAGTATTTTATTTCCAACAACAAATGCAACATATAATATAATTATTACAAGTATACACTTTTCAGAAAATAAGTACAAGCCCCTATGTTTTTACAAACCAAAGATTCAGTTAAGCATCAGCAATGTTGTTTTCTGGTTAGCATTAAAACACACAAATCAATGCTAAAAGTACAAAAACACATGACCCGTATGAAAATCATTATTGTTCACAGGAAAAACATTTGCTATATTGAGGAGAATAGATTTCACATCTGCATATTTATCCGCTGTCATTTGCACCATGGTACGCCATCCCAAGGTCATTCGTCTAATACATTCTGTCTGTTTGTCAAATCTAGAACAACATAGTATCCTATCTGTGTCACATATTGCATTGTTAACAGCTTCACACAACAGTGCTCTCATCTTATACACGATGTATCTCTTTTTGACATAGTTTAGTAGACTAGATACATTCCCCATTGTTTTTAGTGTTTTTCCCCCTTCCAGATGTCCAGATTCCTTAACTACTTTGCTCACACTGTCCTCCACTCTAACTACCCGTTTAAGCGAAGCAATGAGAAAAGGGTTCCTCAGCCAAATCTGTAGAGTACCTGCTGCAATTTCTCGAATACTGCACTCACACGTTGGCACCAACCCAAGACCACGTAGTACGTACTTTTAAGCATCAGCGAAATTTTTGTTAAAAAGCTTCTGCGTAAGTTCCCCCTTATGTCCTTTGATATAAAAGAAGGGCAGCGTCTCAATGCATGTGTGACCTGTTCCAGCATCAGTGATATCAAAGGGACATGTGTAGTGTACACTGTTTAATGCATAATGGATGGAGTAAGATGAAATGTTGTAAATAAATACATGTGACATACTGACTGTATGGTGTATATAACAATGATCTACTGTTTTTAGTTACTGAAAACCATCCCTGGTATTATAACCTATTAGTCAGAGAAAAACAGTGGCTCATCATGTCACAACTAGTGTCATTCCTTCTTTCTCAGCTTTCTATGCCCTTTGAGCTCCTGCGATATGATCCACAAACTTATGAGCCAGTCCGAACAAACTCTGGAAGATGCATGCAAGCAAAAATAGGTATTTGAATCACATGCCTTTAATGTGAAAGTCATTCAGTCCATTTTATACAGCTGTATGTACAGAAGAAGGGCTTATGTGTCCACTAACATCCTGTTTCTGCGCACAGGAGAGGCAGGGATCCTGGTAGCTCCTCTGTCAGCTATGAACCAGTTCCTGGGTTATGCTGGGAATAAGGTCCAGTCTGAAAAGAAGCTGCTCAGAGATGTTTTCAAAGCCGGGGACGTCTATTTCAACACTGGAGACCTCTTGCTCCGTGATCACGGGGACTTTCTTTACTTCCATGACCGCATTGGAGACACCTTCAGGTACTGTTACTGTTTAGAACTGTGCTAACGCAACATTGCTAAGAATCTTTTGTTTAATTTGGTAAATTTGTTTTTTGAAAGGGGGATACAACATTTTGTTGTGGTGTCACATTGAAAAGAAACCCTTTACCAGTCTTATCTAACAGAGATCAGTCAACATCCAACACGCTGTCTACACCAGATATGTTTCAGAATCAACTCTGCTGACAGCAGAGCATACGCCATGATAGTACTCAAGTCCACACAGTTTGTGACAGAGTGGTAACTAATTGGTATAGTTACAATTAGGGCTAAAATTAACCCTAACCCTCTGTAAGAAATCTGAATAGAAACATCTTATAGAAAAAAAACAGTTCTGGTTTGAATGGACCTCTGTGCACTAACTCAGACCTCATGAAGTCTGATAAGACTGGGGGCCAATCTGCTGGGTCATGTGGTAGAGCAGCAACTCCATTAGGGTCTGAGCTGCTTGTATTTGATGCTGGCTGTACATCTCTGGCTGTGGCTGCCTGTGTTTCACCTGGGTTTGTGGGACAGGCTAAAGAATTCTGGACAGTCTGGACAAGTCAATGTGAATCCACTGAAAGTGAGGCAGGGCCATCCAGTTCTGTGCTGGACTGTCACTGCGTATGCCAGTGTCGCATCAACTGACTGAAGTTGAATCACGCGTTATCATTCAGCTTTATCAGTTTTACATTTGTTTTTCAGTGCTGCTCCACTCAGGTGCGCTGCATAAGCTACTAATACCAATGTAACGAGGTGTCGTGATACAGTGCAGATACCGAAAAAAACAGTAGTAAAAAGTACAGTAACAAAATATTTGTACTTTGTTACTTTTCACCACGGATGATATTAAATGAAAAAGTTGAAAGGACAAACATATTTGAAAGCAATACAGAATGTCCAAAAGCCTTACTGCTTTAGATTCTGTTTAGATTTGGATTGTCACCTGCCACCTGAATTTTGTGTTTCCCGTTACATAAATAAAAACATTCCCGCCATAAATTGGTGCAGAAAAATTCACAAGAATTCAGGAAATTAACTGTTTATGGCTGAATATTTTCATATGATTCAACATTGAATATTTCTTAAAAATGGTGTTAAAATGTTGTCTCATCTCAATTACGTAAACCCAATATTGTGTCTCGTCACACCTCTAGTATTAATATCAGTAAGGTTATTAATATTAGTTAAATTATTAATGAAGATTAATAATTACAGGACCAGCATCAGGATCAGCAGCAAATAATCAAAAGTGAAAACAGCCTCACAAAGTTGGTTTGTCCACTTAGAAATGGCAATGTTTAACTACTATTTTACATTAATTGGGTAGACAGTTAAGGGTGAGCGCTGACCATCACAACCAGCTGTTTAGATGTTTTACAACACATACACAAATAACCACAGGCAACTGCTCTTTAAATGTACAAAAAAGTTAATTTACTTTAGCACAGATAAATAATTATTGACTCTTGCCAATAAAACTACTATTATCTACTCTAAACACAATCAAAGCATACAATAGTCAGCAAGCATGTGATGCAGGTGTGTGTGGTGGGGTGTGGGGGTAAAGAGAGAGGAACAAAGAAATAAACACATATAAACGCAGCAGTTTGGCAGTTCTGGACACAGAATGTGCCACATCAGGTCTGGATTCTGCAGACAGAGAAACACACATGAGCACATCGCTCTCAAACACTGCCAGGTTGTTCACCAGTCACGAGCTGTGAAACAACAGCATGGCTCTGTTGGTAAATAAAAAGGAAAAGTTACGTTGCGCTCTCGGCGGACCTGGATCAGCTGTTAGCTGTACACAAACCACAGGGCTAACGTTGCTACGTGGTTGTGTTTTAATGTTTTAATGACCGGGTCTGTTTGTTTTGGAGAGGAGACGACCTCTGAGGTAATTCAGCTCCTGGTAGAACCCTGTCAGGGCTCTGAAGTGGAGAGGACCCAGAACAACTCTCATCAGCTGTTGGCTGTAATGTTAAACACTAGCAGGACTGAAGTTACGGTACGGCTGTGCTAAAACTATAACTTAGCACAACATCACTGCGCTGCAATAACAGTATGCTTTATAAAATGTCACATAGTTAACAAAATAGCTATATAATGTCAGTTCAGTGACTGTTACCTGACAGCCGACCTGCCTCTCATTCTCCGGCGCTGGCAGTCACTGAGCCTGCAGAATGAACGAAAGACTGGGGAGGACCCATGTGAGCGATGAACTAGTAGTTCATTCCTGCTCCACAGTAGCTGTCACGTGACAAATGAACGACTCAGACTTAGAGACCCACAGTTGAGAGTCATGAACTAATCAGTTCTGTTTCCTGTGCTGCCTGCTTACCACAGCTCTGTAGCCGAGCTGTCACGTGACAAATGAACGACTCAAACAGACCCACATTTGAGAGTCATGAACTAATCAATGCTGACGGAGCCCATGCAGCTGCCGTGTGACGAATGAACGTAAGAGTCCAAGATCCTTCACGAATGAGTGAAAATGAACGAATCGATCACTGAGACACCCGTTCCTCCCGAGTCATACACACGATCAGGTCTTATGAACGAAACGTTCATTGAACGACACAACACTACAAAATAGAGGACACAACCACTAACTGTAGGTGTGTGTGTGCGCAGGTTAGTAGATGAAGAGAGAGGTGAGAGAGAGAGAGAGGCACACCGGCAAGGTACAAAAGATCTGCAGTATCAGAGCAAGCCACGATAATTTAGAGCCCGACCGATTTATCATTTTGTGGATATTATCGGCAGGTATAAGCTACTTGCAGATATAGAGTGGCGCTAACGCTACCTTCTCCCGTTGCTGAGCTAAGCCGGGCCGAGGGATCGCTGGACTGGCATTTTTTATATTTTCCTTAGTGGGCCACAAATTGAAGATGCATGTGTTCATAGCCATAAGGATTTCTTTACTGTGTCTAATGGACATTTAAATGCTGATCTGACCACTGATTCTCTGTACAAAGTGCTCATTTTAGATCGTATAAAATGTACTGTTGCTTTTGAATTATTAGTTCTTGAGGCGTTTGCCTGTAGGGACCCTCACTGGCCCGCTGTACATTACAGCAAGGTATCAAGTGCTTCGAAATCTTTCTCTAAAATGTTAATCCATTTACCCCTTCTGGTCTCTGGAAATGTTAGCACCAATCCAGGTCCAGAATTGTTTCCTGAAAGTCTACATTAGCTTTCCAACCCCCTTAGAATAAGCTCACAGACATGGGCTTTGCTTTCATCACATAAATGCTAGAAGTCTTGTACACAAATTCGACAATATTTAAAATTTGGTTCATGATTTCTAAACCTGATGTTGTGGTAGTGTCTGAAACTTGGTTAAAAACTTCTGTCACTGATAATGTTTTATTTATTGACTGTTATAGAATTTTTATATCTGACCGTAAAGATAGGGCTGGAGGTGTTGCAGTTTATATTTCTGATAAACGTCAGTGCACTGTTTGGCTTTCTAAATCAATTCCCAAGCAATTTGAACTTCTACCTGTGAAAATAAAAATTTATTGTCATCGGTTGTTATAGGCCCCCATCTGCCATTAATTATAGCATCACTAGTCTGACAGAGGTGTTATCAAATTTTCATTCATCTGAATTGATCTTGTTGGGTGACTTGAACTGGGATTGGATGACCAAGAAGTCTGAGAACGTAAAGTGGGTTTGTGATTCTTTAAATCTAGCTTATAAATTATGCAACCCGGATTAATCCTTCACAGACAGGTAAAGATACACTCATTGATGTTATTTTAACAAATGCAGCACATGTTGCTGTTGGTGTTTTTCCAAATGACATGAGTGATCATTGTGTTAGGAGTACAAAACTACCCAAATCCGAAGGTCGGACTGACGTTGTTTCAGGCATTTCTCGGAGAATTGATCCCTACCATTGAGGATGCTGTAGCTTCTTAAAGCTTGCAAATAAACATGCCTCCATTAGGAAGTTCAGAACATAGCTGACCTAATCCATGCCAGAAATAATCAATGGTCTATAGCTAGAAAACAATTGGCGTCTTTTTAGAACTCTTAGAAATCAGTGTACAGCTCTCATTAGAAAATCTAAAGCTGAATACTATTTGGCACAAACGTCAATTAGTTTGCATGACCATTCGAAATTTTGGAAAACTATAAGAGCACTACAGAATAAGAAAGTTAACAGCTTCCCTCACCAGTTAAAAATAGGAAATGCTGTTATAACAGAGAAGAGGGACATGCTAAATGCTAATGATTATTTTGAAAAGGCAGGACATATCTTTGGGGATACATTTGGTGAAACTTCTCTTGTTCAACATAGTTCCCAGGTAGCAAAAGGTGAAATTCCCCATGGCAAACCCAACTCACAGGAAACTTGGAATAATTTATTCCTGGCTGAATCTAGATCCCAGTCACACAAGGGGAAGTGGTTTCTTCTTCTGTTTCTGCTTTGACCTTTGAGCTCGCACCATTCTTTGAGTCAGATGTTTTGCAGAGCATTGACTCCAAGTAGGCAGCAGGGCGAGATGGACTTGATCCTGTTTAGTTAAAATGGCAGCAGAAACTGTAGTGAAGCCACTCATTTACATCTTTAACCTTTCCATTTACACAGATACAGTGCCTATTCCATGGAAACAGGCTTACATCACGCCATTACTGAAAGCTGGGGATCCATTTGACACAAATATTTATAGACCTATCTCAAATCTTTCGGTTTTAGCAAAGATTTTGGAGATTTTAGTTTCTAATCAATTAAAAACTTTTCTGGTTTCACAAAATATCCTTAACGACATGCAATCTGGTTTTAGATCTGGCCACAGTACAGTTTCTGCCTCTTTAAAGCAGCGATTGATAAAAAGTTATTCTGTATGGCTGTGTTCATTGACCTTACAAAGTCATTTGATACAGTAGACCATTTCATGTTAATAAAAACCTTGTTGAATATTGGTGTGGGGCATAGAGCTGTAAATTGGTTTCACAGCTATCTCTCTGAACGTACGCAAATTGAAAGGCATGGGGATGTAATATCTGACCCTGTTGTCCTAAAAAAGGGTGTCCCACAACGATCAGTTCTGAGTCCTTTGTCCAAATGCTGGCTATCAGACACATCACTGCATCTTATACAGTAGGGTAAACTGGCCATCACTCAAATTGCGCAGGATGCTACATTGGTACATTTTTATTTATAAAGCTATTTTAGGTATTTTGCCTTCTTATATCTGTTTAAAATGTTTTCATATGCAAAGTATATATCATTTAAGATCTAGTGATGGACTACTTTGTAAGGTACCAAGAATGAGGACAGAAGCAGGAAAGAGGAGTCTGTCTTACTATGGCCCTTTGTCCTGGAATGAGCTACAGTCTAGGCTTAAGATTGTTGCGCTAATTTCCTTAGCTGCTTTTAAAAAAAGAATATCTGACATTCTGACGGACGTATGCACTTGTTTTTAATAAAGAGTAGG